CTGATTGTTATAGAAATGCCAGAAGAACTGTAAACCAAGGAAAGCCTCTTAGCAAATTAAGAATGATCTCTCACCCCTTTAGTTTTTCATATTAAACAAGTTGTAAAGCATCATAAAAATGAAATATGGTAACGAGTGACAGGTAGGTTTCAGGCATCATTGTGTTATCACAAAGACTTTAGCTAATATACTTTAGTTATAGTTGCTATATGAAGTACTGGATGGTTAGGTTTTTCTGCTGAAAAACATTCTTTAATAGTAGTTACATGAAACCTTCATATATCATCATAAACTTTATTCATTTTTCCTACTTCATCAACTGTTTGAAAACGACTGTATTTTCTATTTGGATTTAGTACTAAGCCTACACTTTTATGGAATTTGTCTCATGTTGGGGAACTTTGTTAGTACTTAATGTATGTGGGCAGAGGTGGAGAGCTAATGATTTTTTCAGGCTCAAACCAGACATTTGGTAGAGACAATTAGAACCGATTCCCATTCCATAAAAATGCTTCCTCCCAAGGAATAAGCTCTACAAAAGCACCATAAACATACAAAAAAACGTGTGTGTGTGTGTGTGTGTGTGTGTGTGTGTGTGTGAATGTGTGAGAAAATAACTAACTGAGTTGGGATATCCCATTACCCAATGGACTATTTCCATATGCTAAAATCATAGGGCTGGTTACATCTGCTAAGAGGGAGATGAAAAAAGTAAACATTGTTTCCAATAAGCATAGCTTTGGCCAATCAAAATGCACTCTTAGGTAACAGTCAGAAATTTACTATAGGCGTATCTACCCTGGAGTTACAGGCAGTCCCCGGGTTACGTACAAGATAGGGACTGTAGGTTTGTTCTTAAGTTGAATCTGTATGTAAGTTGGAACTGGCGTCCAGATTCAGCCGCTGCTGAAACTGCTCAGTTTCAACAGCGGCTGAATCTGGACACCAATTCCGACTTACATACAGATTCAAATTAAGAACCCCAGGTGTCCCCAAGTCAGCTGCTGCTGAAACTGATCAGCAGGGGTATGTCTACACTACTTTCCTAGTTCGAACTAGGAGGGTAATGTAGGCATACCGCACTTGCAAATGAAGCCCGGGATTTGAATTTCCCGGGCTTCATTTGCATAAACTGGGCGCCACCATTTTTAAATCCCTGCTCGTTTGAACCCCGTGCCGCGCGGCTACATGCGGCACGGACTAGATTCGTAACTGCGGATCCGACATAAGTCGGATCCGCGTAACTCGGGGACTGCCTGTATTTCAAAATAATTTCCCTTATTGTGAAATAAGGCGAGCGTTCACACTATCAAGCCTGTTATTTTGAAATAACGGGCTTGTTATTATTTCAAAATAACTCCTGCTTGTGAAGAGGAATAAGTTAATTTTGAAATACTTACTTTGGGAGTTATTATTCAAAATTAACTTATTTCAAAATAACCTGGTAGTGTAGACATACCCTGTCTGAGCAGTGAAATTGCAGCTGGACTTCCAAAAACAGGTGAAGACCAGTTTCAAATTCTGCTGCAGGCAAATTATGTTTGCTATCACCTACCTGCAGATGCCCTTTCAGTTTTTAAATGCAATTGGATACTAAAATCTCTAATATAATCTCTGTTTGCTAAGAATAGTGATAAGTAATTCACATCATATATCATGGACTTAAAAAAAATCTTTGTACAGAAATCTCTCTTCCAGATCTAGTATTTTCACTCACTCTCTCTCAGATTTTTAAGTGATAAAAGCCGTTTTATAAAATGTGTCTAAAAAGGAGATTAAGTGGGATTTTTGGTAAACATTTTGCCACTAAAATTCAATATAATAATTTTCTTGTATGACAATGATGGGAATAAAAACCAGCAAGCCAAGCTAATACAAAGAAAGGTTTCAGAGAAGTTCAGTACTTACCATCTCAAATGTAAGCAAAGTTTTCAGGGTCTGTGCTGTGCAATCTTATATTCCTTCTCTTTAATGGTTCTTCAAAATTATGAAGGGAACACAATCCACTTTTTCTATATAATTTCAAATCATTTTTGTAAGTATTTTCTATAGCCAAAAGAAGTTTTGAGGAGAAGACACAATATAAAGTGAAACTTGTCCTAGTTCTTTAGTAGGTGATAAAACAGGGACATTTTTACAATGACGTTCAAAAGTTATTTGTTCCCTCACTATCACTAAGTAGCAGTTTAGCCAATATCCATGGGATATAGTTACCATAAACTAGGGATGTTAAAAGTCATTTTTTTAAAAGTAACCATGTAACCTAGTGTTTCTTAAACTTTTTAAGATAGAGGAACACCAAACAATATTTTTTTTAAGAGGAACACCAAGGACTTGTTGAGCAAAAAAAAGAAAAGTGTGTCGGGGGGGAGGAGTTGCCTGTCCCTTTACGGGTGGCCATTTTGAACTCTGATGTTCTCCACAGCACACTTCCACAAAACACAGTTTAAGAAACACTGGTCTAAGCACTAAAAATCCTAGCGGTTACATGTGCTGTGGGTTCTTCCGTATAAAGCTTACATATAAGGTTTCTACGGAAGAACCCTTAGTGAAACCTCCATGGGAACAGAGCCAGCAGTGCCTTCCCATCCTGATCCTGGGGAGCCAGTGTGTAATGCGCAATGGGGATTGACCAAGCCTGCCATGGACAGGGGCTGCGCCAGCAGGCCAGAGCAGCCCCTGCCTGCGATGCACCACCTGGGCTGGGCCCGCCCCAGACAGAGGCTGGCAGGCAGGCTGGAGCAGTCCCATGCCCAGTACAGGCAGGAAGCTGCTCCAGTCTCTACCAGTTAACCATTTACATCCCTACCATTAACACTATGTAAGTAGCATGGCAGATCCATGATCCAGTTGTTGGAAAGGAAGAAAAAGGTATGTGTAATGCCGTTTTTATGCGTTGAACTGGTTTCTGTTTGCAACTTTCCTAGTAACAGCCGCATGTGTGCCAGTAAGCTGGCTGCATGAGACCTGGGTCCCTGACCTGTGCTCAGGCCTGTAAGTACAGGTCTTGTGGCTCCATCCAAACTGGGGGCCCTGAGAGCAGGGCAGGCAGTGATACTAACATTGTCCCGCAGTCACTAAGCCCTAGGCCCTGGTTCAGGGCGAGCATCAGAGCAAAGCAGTCCCGTAGTTAGTGAGGACCTGGTTCAGGGTGGGACAGCAAACCGAAGCAGTCCCAAAGTTAATACAGCCCAAAGCCCTGTTTCAGGATAGAGCAGCAAACACAGTTCCAGTTACTAAGGTCCGGGCCCTGGTCCAGTGTGGGGCAACCAAACAAATGCAGGTCCCCAGACACGAGCAGGGAGATGGAGACTGCCACCTGATATGTGGGGTGGCCGGGCTGGGGGAAGGAAGGGGGGAGAGGCAGGCCCTCCCTACTCCACTGCATCCTGGCCCAGGGCCCTAGCAGTGGCAGCCCTGGCTGCCATTGGGGTTAGTGGGGATCCAGCCTGTAACACACTGTAGAAGGTTATAAGGTCATCCTGATAGTCATCAGCTTCCCTGGGCCACTTCCTAACTCCCCCTCTGCGCTAGCTGTTGGTCCTTGGGATCGTGGTGCTTTGAACCCTGGGGCAGGGTGTAGAAGGCCTTGGGCAGGGTGGAGCAAGGGCCCCATAGTGCAAGCCAGTCCTCCAGGCACTCCTGGCCTGGGAGCTCAGGGCAGACCTCTGCTTCTGCCAGCAGCTGGAGCCCTACTGAGCTCCAGCACTGGGCTTTTATGTTCCCTGCCCAGCCCCATGGCCTCTGTGGAGTTAAAGGGGCAGGACCCAGCTCAGCCCACCCGGGGTCGGAGAGGGGTTCTTCCCCCTTGGAATTAGTGAGCAGCTATGGACAGAAATGCTAGCTATTCAGAAATGGCTTAGTCATTCTACAAAACTCCCTTTTGTTGCTGTTTTACAAATAAGTGGAAAGGAAAAAAAAACAACCCTGTATAATATGGATTATATCTTGAGGACATGTTTAGATTTTTAAATGTAAAAGTTTGGTTAATCATTATACTCTGTTTCTGAAAGAGTAAGTGCTTCTGCTTCACTGAAGAGCAGAGTAATCCCATGAACCACATGCGATTTTGAAACATACAGCTAATTTGTATGGGCCAGATTCCTAGAGACAATGAATAATCTGATCCTCACTGGATTCAGCACAAATTTGGGCTTCAATGTGACCCCAATCACAAATTAAGGCTTCCTTTCTTTGAAGAAAAGCCTCTTGCAAAGCAGCAATATCATTGTTAGAGGCTGAAAATCTACACCCCTTCATGTCAATTCACCTCCACATTTTTAACAAACTTTTTTACTAATACCATGCTAATTTATTAAAAAGTCAAGTGCTTAGCAGGATTCAACTAAAGAATGAGACACGTGTATGGATAAAGGGCTTGAGCTTTGAGCCTTTCTTCAGGTGCCAATCCTCCAAAGCATTTGACCACATACCTCAACTTTAAGCACGAGTAAAGACACTGAAGTAATGTGAAAATTAATGCTCTGTAGAATCAGTGCCAGACTCAGCACCGAGTCCAATTACATGACTCAAGATGAGGAGAAAGAGAAATAGTTTGGAACGGTAATCAGTCCCTTGCCACCAGTGACTGGGGTAAAATTATTCACGATGTGGGATCTGCGGAAGCAGAACTGGCCTCTGTCAGACAGCTTAGTCTAGCTAGTTCACTGTTCAGGCTATTCCTGTGTTTTTAAAGATTTTTTTCATTTAATTTTATTATCATTGATTTTTCCATCTGACAACTTGGAGAAAAACAACTTGCCAAGTTCATATTTATTTCTAGTCAGTTTTAATGTCTGGTTCTTATGAACTAGCTGAAAGATAGCACTGTTGTGTTTGGGATACAATTATCCAAGAATACATTTAAATATAGTTTTAGTGGACCTGTTAAAAGAATTTTTTGATTTATGATTAATCCCAGTTATATTATATCTGATATTTTACAAACCGTGAATTGTGGACATTTTATTACTGGAAAAACCAACTCCATCACAAGCAACCACAAATACACCTGCAACTTTATTAGTTCACCACTGAGAGCTTCATATTTATTCTCTTAAATCCTGCATTTAGACACAAAGGCAATAATAAAATATCTGTACACTACTTCTGTTACAAATATAGATATTTGAAGTGACTTTACATACACTAACATAGGCATTTCACACACTACCTTGGGAGAGAATAGGCTAATAATTCATTTCTGGTTGGCTCAAGTACTGCTACCATGTTTTTCTTAGCCTATTGTACTGTAGCATTTAAAAAAAACATTGAAAAGGAGAGGTGTTTTATTTTTTTTTAATTAACTGACCTACATTTAGCTATCAATTTGCTAGAAGTATCTTTCATCCTTCCTAACACTGCTGTTTTTCACTCAGTAGAATGAATGAATGGTATCTTTTGCATATTTCTTTAGCACAGTTTCAATGTTGCCCCCATTTAAAACTCAGTATTTATATATTATAAACAACAACAACAACTGACATGATTCTCTGGCTGCTATCAGTGTTTGCTGGTCAATATGCAGTCTTGCACCTATATGAAAGTTTAACATGGACAACACTCTAGCCTAAAGGAACACAAACGCTCACATCACCTTTGACATTTTTTTCCTTTCTAAAGGTTTTAATGAGATATTGTATTTTGTCACAGTTGGGGCTTGACAAAGAGGATACATGCTAGGTAAAGGGAGGCACTGACAGTTAGGGAGCCCACAAGTTATAATGAGAAGCCAGGAAGAGTTGTTAGATCCTTATAGGGCTCCATCTTACATATCAGTGTCTGGTTGTAAGTATCCGCCTTATAATTGTCCAGTAATGTAGAAGTCCTTCCAGCAGATGGAATGACAACTTTTTCTTTGCCCTCCTGTCCCCCTCCTGCATGCTTTCTGACTAAGGTGAAGAGGAACCTCTACCATTCGCCATACTCTAGGCCACCTCCTGTCTCTGAATGTCTTCCGTATCTGCTTCTGCTTAAAGCAATAGCAGCAGCAGAACACTGACTCCACTCCACTTCAATGCACTACACTGGGCTCTGACTAGTGACAGTCAGTCAGAGCAGTTAATTTGTACTGCTGCTTCAAGCTGTAAGCAGCTGCAGCGGTGACATTGGAGCTGTCTGTCTGTAAGCAAGAGAACAGTATTCATTTTCCTGTTTGAATTCGGAACATTATCTTCACATGCACAAAGGTTAGCAACATCACTACTTTAAAAGAGAAACCTAAATCCTTATGATATTGCAGATGTTGGGCTCCCTCATTCACCAGGAAAAAAGTTTCCTACAAGTGGATTTTTCAACATCTAAGCACCAAAAAAAATAATCTTTGCGACAATTTTGCTTCTGAAGCAGAATGTAACTAGCAGAACCGACTAGCTAATTTTCCCATCTATCTTCTTTTGTTAAATCTTTGTTCCTCCTGCGACTTTTTTCTGCTATTTAAATATCCGTAATCATCCCCACTTGACTATTTAGCACGCACACACACCTCTCTCAAATATTCAGAGCCTCTTTGCAAAACATTCCATTTCTGCACTGTGGTTACTAATGCAAACATTCATGTTCTTGTGGATCACAGGTATTCATTACAATAATAATAAAAAAACGTAAGTCTTTGCCAGAGACCACATACGCCCATCCCAGTGATCTGACAGTAACACAAATACTTCTATTGTGCTCAAAAAATAAGATTAAGTGTTATTTTTTCTCCAGTGATGTAACAGTCTGGTAAAGCTGGAATAGCAAGAAGGCTACGTAAACATTTCCATTCTCTTTGTTATGTGGAATGTAGATAATATAATCTTGTTGATGCTACTCTTCGGACAGCCCATTCACGAGAGAACAGCCAGAGTGACAGTTCCTTTTGTCCTTTTTAGAATAGCAACTGCTTCTTCATGGGTCACCCCTTCTAAGCTCTGCCCATTGACAGCAATAATTTGATCCCCTCTCTTCAGCCGTCCATCCTCTGCCGCTGCACCCTGAAATTACACAGTATGTAACTGCAGATGTGTATTTCTGAAACTTCTGGTTTTATAACTGTTCACAGAGCAATCTAAAGAGGGTCTTAGGAAGATGGGCTCCATACAGCACACACAAAACTTTTCTGTTTGAGGAAGTCTAAGTCGATCAGTTTTTGTTATTAGCAACACCATGCTCATTTTGTCCTTAGTAGGTGCTGGTTCTACCTGACTATAGGTTTATGCATAATGTTTCTATTGTGCAAAATAACCAGATGAGTACTGAAGGTGCTAAAAAGAAAGACTGCAGAATCAAACCCTGCCACACCAGCCCCATTTAGGCGAATAAAGTGGAGCTTGCTGAAAAGAACCTGCCCTAACTAAGGAAGGAGAGCCAGCAGCCAGCCTAATTAGCTCAGGGCTAGGTAAGAGGGTGGCGAAAAGGAGGTTGGTGGGATGGAGGAGAGCAAGGGAATATAGGTAGGGAGAAAGTGCTTCCCTCCTGGGTCCAGACACAAGGAACCCAGAGCTGTGTACTCTGTATGGTGAGAAGGTGATGGGCACACAAACCTGTACAGGCAGTCCCCGGGTTACGTACAAGATAGGGACTGCAGGTTTGTTCTTAAGTTGAATCTATATGTAAGTTGGAACTGGCATCCAGATTCAGCCGCTGCTGAAACTGATCAGTTTCAACAGCGGCTGAATCTGGACACCAGTTCCAACTTACATACAGATTCAGCTTAAGAACCCCAGGCGTCCCCAAGTCAGCTGCTGCTGAAACTGATCAGCGGCTGATTCCAGGAAGCCCAG